TCTAGAAATCTTTAATTTATTAAATACACTCTTCAAAGTATTATGATTAGTTACCAGAATGAAAGAAATATTAGAATATAAGTATAATCTGAATAGTTATATTATCCAAATTACTGTTAAATATTCTAATTTAGTTGCATAATAATTTTTCTTAGTATTATTTATTCTTTTACTAGTATAAGTAATTACATGCTCATTATCTTTTTCATCTTTTATATCAAAACTATTCCTAATTCAAAGCTAGAAGTATTAGTATATAATATAAAAGATTTCTCAAAGTTTGAATAGATTAATATAGTTGTAGTAATTAATCTATTTTTCAGTTCTTTAAATGCTTCTTGATATTCAATAGATTATTTAAAAGATTAATCTTTTTTCATCAATTGATTCAACGATGCTATTATCTTTATAAAATTTCTTATAAAATATCTATAATATGAGGTTAAGTCAAGAAATTCTCTCAAAATAGTTAGATTTATTAGTCTAGAAAACTATTTTATAGTTAAAATTTTAGCTAGATCAGATTTCAAATTATCTTTACTAATAATATATTCTAGAAAGGTGAGTATAGTTTTGTCAAATTAATATTTGCTTGGCTAGAATTTTAGATTACTTTCTCTAAGTTTATTAAATACTTATTTCAGATATATAAGATACTTTTCAAAAATATTTAAGAAGATATTAGTATTATTAAGATAAATAACTACAAACTTTCCAAGATAAGATTTGAATATTTTATTCATTAAATATTAAAAAGTGACTGATGTATTATTTAATTCAAAAATATAATAGATATTAATTATCACTAACTATTATTACTTCAAATAATAAAAAAGAAAGTAAAATAAAAAATATTCTTAATAAAAAAATTTATTATCATAAATCTCAATATCTTGTTAAATAGCTTAGTTATTTTTTTTATAATATAATATAAAAATCTCTTGAGAACTTAAAAAATATCATGAAAAAGATTAATATTTTTGAGAAATTATGTATTTAAATATAATGAAAATATTATATTTTATGTAGAAAGATATGTAATAATTTTAATTAAATTATCTTTCTTTAGTTTAGATCTTTATTTTATACTATCTATATAACAGATTAGTTTTTGTATTATTTTTTATAAAAATTAATTTCATTTTTGATATATTTATATATTTAATATATTATTATATAAATAATTATTATGTATATTTTTATTATTAATTTAGATAATTAATATTTTTAATTAGTTTTTTTTTAATTATTTTTATATAATTTTACTTATTCTTATTTATATTATTATTTATTATATTATTAATTATTAAATTATAATTAGTTATTTTTTAGAGATATAAATTAAAATAATTAATTCTATTTAATTATATATATTTTTATTAAATTAATTATTTATAATTATTCATATTTTATATTTATTTTATTTTTTATAAATATATATTTTCTGTTCTGTAAATTAACTTTAAATCTGAATATTCTTCAAATAATAAAATTATAAGTTTATAAATTAAAACTATTTATATCATATTTTATCTTGTTTATAACTATCAATAAAATAATCTTATATTAATATATATTTTTTTAGAATTTTTAGATTTTTTCTAAAAATTATTTGAATTACAAAGTTATTGTAAAATTTTTTTCTAATTAAAAATAAAATTTAATTAAAAAAATTTTATAATAACTTTATAATTAGAATAATTCTTTCAGAAAAAATATATTAAATTATAATTTAATAAAAAAATTTTAATTTTTAAAAGTAATCTTTTAATTTTATAATTATGAATATTACTATATAAAATTAATTAATTTTTATTAATTATTAATTAATAAAAATAGATTTTATATTAAATTAAAAATAAAAAATATTTATTTATAAAATTAAAATCTTTTAATATAATAAAAAATATTTATTTTACTAATTATAATTAATAAAAAATTCAAATATTATATTATTTTTAATTATTATTATTTATTAAATATAAGATAATATATTATATATTTATAAAAATAATACTTAAATATATTTTTTAAATTTTATTTTATTTATTATTGAATAAAAGTATAATAAAATAATAAAAAAGTTATCAAGATTATTCTTTATTTAATATGATTTTAATTAAAAGTAATTATTTATTTTTATTTTGAAATATAAATCTTTCTGTATTATATTATATAAAATTAAAAAAAAAAACTACTTATTTTTAAAATAAAATTAATAATTAACAAATTAAAATATTAATTTCTTTTTTTTTAAAAAAAAGAGAATAAAATAAACTAAATTATTTATTCTAAATAATAATATAAAAATCAAAAAATTTGATAATGATAATAAAAATTATTGAAAAGAGCATATAAAAATTAATACCTGGTTTTGATATGAAATATCCAGAACAAAAAGCTATTAAAATTTAAAATACAACTTATTTTTAAAAATATTGATTTTAATTTATCTTTTTAAATAAAGAAAATAAAAATATAGTTTTTTTTAGTAATAACTTTATATAATAAACAGGATTGGCCAAGTTTAGCATATGATAATTATTTGACAAATTCAGGTTAGAATATTTAAATAATTATAAATCAGTATAAAACAGACTTTAATACTATATATTCTAAGCTGTATTTAATCTTTTTTCAGTCCTCCCTCCCAAAAAGCCAAAATTTCATTTTAATCTGTCACATACGTATATTTATTATCTCATTGACTTAAAGACTTTACTAAAGTTGTTGACAAACATTAGTAAAAGCAGCTAAACATTAAAGAACTATTATTTTTGAATACGAAAAATATGAAACAAGAAAAATCAAACTGTAGCACTATGTGATATTTATCTTTTGTGCACTGTTGTTGTTCAAATTTAATAATACATTCAAGTGTAACATCACAACAGCAATAAAATTAATAATTCGGAGTATAAAAACCATTCCCTCACCCTCTTACTCAAATTAATTCTGAAACACCACGATGTTTTTTATTCTGATCATTCAAAAAAATTTCCCTTTTTTTGATACTTTATATGATACGTCATGGCTATATAACCAGAAACAAAACCACACATCTAAAAAAAACTTTCGGACCGAAATCCTGTGAATATTATTCTCTACGCTAAGAAATCAAGTTTTTCCTTCAGAGTTTTAAAAAAATAGGAAATTTATGGTATATCATTGGATGAGTGTCATCATCTCATATCAGCAGACCCTGATGACTAAATACTTTGTTTTGCAGATGATCGAAATGAAGTTTCAAAAATAAGGGAAGGGAACTGAAAAATCATCATGTTGTTGTTGTTTTTTGGATGTTTGATGTTGGTGTTTGATCGCTTTCTCATTAAAACAATGACAACAACGTGTGAATGTGTGTAAGTAGCGTGTACGTATGTGTTCCTGTTTTATATGTCTGTGTATATATGCGGATGTATTTGTCGCTTGCTCTGTCCTCGGGATGATCAAGAATAAGTTTAGGTTCAAATATATGAAAAAATAAATTTAGCATAGGTGGATCTCTTATAAGAATAGTTGGTTGTACGAGAGATTATCGACATGCATCTGGTAAATATGGAATATATGGGCATGTTTCCTATCTTTATAAGTTAGTCTGCGTGTAGATTTGTAATTTATATGAATATCGATATGCATTCTTTGTGGTAAAAAGTTTTGGTTTGTTTGTCTGTTTCGGGAAAGATGTTCCAAACTTATTCGATACGTAAAAAAAAATATATATTCTTTCTGTATGATGATAAATGATAATAGTGTGTGTGTGTGTGTGTGTGTGTGTGTTTGTGTTAAGAATAAAAGAATTCTCTAATTACACAAATAAAATTATTTTCATCGTCGGTAGAATTCAAAAATATGAAAAACACCAGTAGAATATCTGCAAAATTCTCGTCATCCAATTGGGCAACATCCCATTTTCAGTTAGTCGTGTATGCTGTGCATGTGTCGGCGTGTAACCAGAACTTTATAGAATAAAAATAAACGGGCAAAGAATCACCACGATTACATTGTCAATTGTTACACTGAATTGCCAAGTCTGGTAATGAGTTGTCCTACCACTCGGAAAGCATTAATATGCCTCAATGAGGGGTCAGAGCTGTTTCTTTGGTTGACGTCCCTCGCCAAAATCTCCTTTCCCTCCTTTTCACTTTGCCCTTGCCGGCCTTTTCACTTTCCTTTAATTTCTTACATTTTTCTGTCTTTCTCTTATATATATAATATATACAAAGTAATTTATAAACCCAACTTTTAACTGCGCTCTTTCAGTTTGTTTTTTCTTTGAAGTCGATTTTTTTTATTAACACAAACAGTATTGTTGCTGCGTTTCTCAATTAGCAAAAAAAAGCTGCATTTGCACATACATTCTTTTGATATTTTTCCTTTTTATATCGTTTGTGTGTGCGCAATTTGTTATACATTCCTGAAAAGAAGTAGTAGTTTCTTGTCTTAAAAACGGGATATTAAATAACCACTATTACCCATAATCTCCTCACCATCTAATTCGTCATTCTCCATCAATTGTCATTTGTCCCGCATTTCCCCTTTTTCTCGTCCTCCCTTTATCTATCCCGACTACTCTTTGTCAATCAGCTTTCAGCAATAAGGTTAACCTTTTGTAAAGGTAAGCATGTTTGTTTTTAAAGGTCGTGTATGTGCATTTCGGTAATGCGTAAAGAAACATAATTTTCATGGATGGCGTAGATGAAGCATTACGTATATGCTATAGCATACAGACGCCTTATGTGTTGGTGGTCTTCTCCGGATAATGCATAAATTGTGTAACTTAATTTTAATATGCTAATCGAACCAATCATTATTTTTATTAATAATAATAGGCACCTCTCGTAAATAAAAGAGTCGAACTTCATACAATACTTGGGTCAAATAAAAATATAAAAAGTTCTAGGAAAACTTTATCGCTCTCTTCTATCATAAATTCACAATAGTTCTCTTTAAACAAGAGACTCTTCGCAACTTCTATCACCTCGAACACATATAAAATTATGACTGATTACATGTCAGCCGAAAGGCCAACCAAACGAGCCTATCACGGTTCCCCGCCCAGTTACTATGACGATGAGCAATACTTCAAATCTGCAGTAGACTTCACACCTGCTTATTATAATACCACTAATACGCCTAGTAATAGTATATCTACTGCAAATTCTTCGTCTATTATGCCTGTTCTCCCACAATCTGGTTCAATAAGCGGTGGCAACAAGGAGGGCACCGCTCGGGAACTCTCGAGTTCTGGAAACTCGCTCACCCATTTCACAAATCGTCCAGAGGCTCTCGATGATGGTAAAATTGCAATCAATAAGGGCACTGATGCAAGCACAGACGTCGTCCCAAACATAAACGATAGCTGCAAGGCTGAGCCAAGCAACCACAAGGAGATCGCCGATATAAATGGCAACAAAATTGGCAAGTCCAACTCTTCCAAATCTCCATCAAATACGTCCACCCAACTTTCAAACAATAACAACAATAGTAATAACACCGTGTCACAACCACCACCACCGCCTACACCCACGAACAATAAAAAGCGCACACGCGCCACACCTGAACAACTTGCCATATTGGAAGAGACCTTCAAAACGAACACCTCTCCAAATAGTAAAGTTCGCGAAGCATTAGCTGAAAAAGTAAACATGTCTGAACGTTCTATTCAAATCTGGTTTCAAAATCGTCGTGCAAAGATGAAGGCAATGCAAAAACGAGTGCACATGCTTCACGAAGAAACAATGAAAGCTCAATTATTTGCATGTATGCCAGGATATGGACATAACTTATTCCCCTACCGTTTGTCTGCACTCGGCCGTTCTTATAGCACTAATGATCTCTCAGCAGGTTTAAATAGCGTGACAGCTGATATTAATCCGGGTATGCGCGCTGCGCATCCAACCGGACTGGGAATTGCTATGCCTCAAAGTCATCAAGGTTTCTGGAGTTCAGGACCAATGACTGCACCAATCCCACAATTAAATTCCGAGCATCTCATGAATGGATTCCCATTTACACAACCACGATTTCCAGTTTCACCTAATGCTAGTCCAAATTCTAATAATGGAATGACTTCTGCGCAAACTTTACGACTTGTCGTTTCCCCCAATAATCCCACCGGTGGGATCCCAATGAAGATTAATGGTATGAGATTTTCGCATTTTAGACCATCTTTGTATTTAATTATAAATTAATAAACTTGTTTCTTATTTCTACGCTATCAATAACAAAAAAAATTAGATATCTCAAACACTCAACCTCAACAGTTCACTCCACCTCAAGAATTTCTTAGTTCAGCATTCAAT